TAATCTTAAAAACTTATACGTTTTTTAAAAATATTGTGTAAGCTAAAATATATGATATTTTGAAAATATTAATAAATACTTAAATTAAATACTATCAATTATAACATTTTTATTAATGTTTTCAACAATTGAAATTTTGATATATTATCGTAAACCTAAAATTATATATTGTATTTATCTTAAAACTTGCCTTTTGATAAAAAAAAACAGGTGTTTTATAATATGGTATAATAATGGTAATTTATGGGCTTATTTTTTACTTACAAACGACAGAACTATTTGCAATCTCAAATACATAGTTATTTTCAAATTGATTGAATTAAAAAAAAAATTTATAATTTTTCTATTTTTAATAATTATTAACACTATTGTTTCTTAAGTACTAGGAAATACAAAAATATTAAGACAGTGTGACACTTTTATTCATGTTGATTAGCTTGGCTGTTACTAAGTGTTTCAAGCTACTCTACAGTATTATACCATAAGATAATAAGCTCATGATTTTATATGACTAAAAATTTAAATACAAAATATTTATGATTGTTGTGAAATCGTATAAAACTAACAATTTTGGTATTCTTGAAAATATTTCTTTATGACACAAGATCATCAAATATTTTTCAATTAATTTTTTTTATCAAACAATTATTTATACTAAATATAATGAATAACAAAAGAATACAATTTTATGTTATGATAAAATTATACATCAGTATAAATTTAATTAAAAATTATGAAAAATCAACAAAACAATGAGAAATCAGGTTTACTTGATTTTAATAGTAAAATTTTGAACGTTTTTAGTTTTATTTAAATAATTTTTAATATTATAATATTAGGTAAGATACAATAAAAAATCATAAAAAACTCTTCGATGCAAATCTGTAGATAGTGTTTAATTTAAAAAAAATGATGGATTGTTCCAATAGCTACACGATCTACTATTTCCTCATTAAATATAAATATTATATTCTGATTAAGTTTTATGATTTATAAGTGTAATATATATTTAATATATCATATTTATATATTATAAATTTTATAATAAATAAAGGGAAAAGGTCCGATTTAAAAAATATTTTTGTCGAATGAAAGAGGTATATAAATATTATTTCTCTTAAAAAAATTATAATGATCCATATATTTTTCAAAAAGTTATAGTATTATAAAATTAAGAAATATAAAAACGAATTTTTTTACAAAAATCGTATTTTAGCTTCGATGCGAAGCTGAGAAGGTATTAGTTTTACTAAGATGTGTTTTTTTTTTTTTTTTTTTTTTTTGTGTCTGTTACCACTTTTTCTCAGCTCTCACCGAACCGATTTCTTTCAATGATACGTCAAAAGATCACAAATCGTATCTAGTCGAAGACATTACCCTCAAAAATTGAAATCGTTCCCCGTAAAAGGGGGAAACCTCCAAAAAAATTACAAATTTAAAAATCGCTAATTTTTGAAATTTTTTCAAGTTTTTTTACTTAAAAGTGCCATAACTTTTTCAAAAATGAACATATCAATATAATTCTTTTTTATATAGATGCATAATATCATTACCTTTCATTTGGTATATTTTTTTCATAAATTTAACCCTTAACCTGCCCACAAGGGGGGATTTAAAATGACAACTTTTT